AAGTTACTCCAGAAACAGCTGATGCAAGAGGGACACTGACCCTCCTCTCTGTCTACCTGAAAGCAGGAAATAAATCTCCCATGTGAAAGGTGCACTCCCTGCATCTAAGGTAGAAGGACACTTTTATTGCCAGATATGGGAAATTCAGGGACAAGAAACTTGTGTAAGCAATGCTTGTTACTTCTTTAATTTACCACTGCAAGCCCAAACTCTGTTTAGATTCTTCATTAACTGAGTACCCCAAACCTGTTTCTTTGCCCTGTCAGTTTCTCACAAATGTGCTGTTTCCTTGTCTAAAAAGTATAAAAGATGACTGCTTTGCCCATTTCTCAGATCTCATTTCTGAGATTTTTGTGTACACTAATTAAAATTTGTTTCTTTTTCTCCTGTTCATCAACCTTGTGTCATTTTTTTATTAGTCCAGCCGCAAGAACTCATGAAGGGTAGAAGGGGAAATTTACCCCTCCCAGATATTCTTTTACATTGAACTGGTACATTTGGACTGCAGGAGACTAAAACAATGGCTCCTGTAAATCTGTGATCATCAAAGTTCATCTCCAAAGTAGAGGCTCACTTCTCTTAGTTCACAAATGAGAAGTTCTAAGGGCAGATTCTGATTAGTCTTGTGTAAAGTTACTTGGCCTTATAAATGGTCAAGGCAGTGAGGCTCTATGATTGGTGGATTCTACTAGAAGAATTTTGTGGTATCAGTGGGACGAGAAATTCCCTCTAAAACCATGCATATCCCCCGCCCCACCTCCCGCAAAAAAAACCCCAATGAGAAGTAATAGACATAATATTATCTAATGTACAATACATCATTACAAAATGCGTTGTGACAATGACAAGCACACAATGTTTTGGAAGCCGGTTGAAAGGAAACGAAAGGATCCAGGCAAATGAAATCAAAAAGGTTTCCTGGAGAAAGCGATGCCTGTACTAAATCCTGAATGATTTATAGGAATCAGACAGAAAAAAAAATAGGAGAAAATGTTTTCACATGAAGAGGCTTTGAGAATATCCAATGGCCAGAAACAAGGGCAATATTAGAGAAAGAGGTAATTTAAGTGACTTAGTATGCCTGGAACAGAGAGAGCAAAATAGGAAATGGCAATAGATGAGGGTAGTGAGAAAAACGTCAGCCAGATCCTAAGTACTCCATTTCTCTACTAAGGATTTTGAACTTTTTCCAAAGACTACAGAGAAACTCTGACCACTGAAAGATATTAAGAAGAGAAATGATACAATGAAATATGGTTTTATTATAGTTATCCTGGTATCAGTGAGCTTTTTCTTTCTCTATCTCCTAGAAACGATAAAGATAAAAATTAAAGACTAAGAATGGATTTGAGTAATAATGGTGGTTTTAAAACATGTCCACAAATTCTTTAACATTCCTTCCATCTGGGTTGGAATTACCCTTCCAACCAAGGGTAATTCCTACTTGGTTCAGGACATCTTCTTCTTTTCTTTTCTTTTTAAAATAATTTATATTGCAGAATAGTTGATTTATAACATGTTAGTTTCAGGTATACAGCAAAGTGAATCAGTTATACATGTACATATATACACTCTTTTAAAAATTCTTTTCCCATATAGGTCATTACAGAGTACTGAGTAAAGTTCCCTGTGCTATACAGTAAGTCCCATATAGGTCATTACAGAGTACTGAGTAAAGTTCCCTGTGTTATACAGTAAGTCCTTATTAGTTATCTATTTTATATAAAGTAGTGGGTATATGCCAATCCCAATCTCGCAATTTATCCCCCCACCCCCCTACTCCCTGGTAACTATAAGTTTGTTTTCTACATCTGTGACTCTATTTCTATTTTGTAAATAAGTTCATTCATACCATTTTTTTTAGATTCCAATAAGCGATATCATATGATATTTGCCTTTCTCTGTCTGACTTACTTCACTCAGTATGACAATCTCTAGGTCCATCCATTGCTGCAAATGACATTATTTCATTCTTTTTTATGGCTGTGTAATATTCCATTGTGTATATGTACCACATCTTCCTTATTCACTCCTCTGTCAATGGACATTTAGGTTGCTTCCATGTCTTAGCTCTTGTAAATAGTGTTGCAGTGAACACTGGGGTACATGTACCTTTTCAAATTATGTTTTTTTCCAGATATATGCCCAGGAGTGGGATTGCTGGGTCATACGGTGGTTCTAGATTTAGTTTTTCAAGGAGGTTCTGGACATCTTGATTGCTTCCAAGTTTTGGCAATTATGAATAAAGCTGCTATAAACACCTGTGTGCAGGTTTTTATGTAGACAAAAGTTTTCAGCTTCTTTGGGTAAATGCTAATGTCGGGGAGGAAGAAATTTCCCTCTGCCCTTCTTGGTTCTTCTGGCTGGTCTAAGAATTAAATCGACATGAGACACATTAACAGGAGAAAACCAAACGAAAGTTTAATAACACATATACACAGGAGAGACCCAGGAGAACAGAGTAACTAAAATGTCCAAAGCCCTTACCTTAAATACCTTCCTCAGCTAAGGACAAAAGAGGATGGATGTTTGAAGGTGGGGAGAGTCAGTTATGGGAAGTCACCAGGAAAAACACAGTAAACAAGGGTGTTATTTTGCAGATTTAAGTCCTTGACTTCTCTGTTGATAAGAGTTTTTAGAGATTTGGCCACAGTCCTCTTCCAGGTGCAACAAGGGAGACACCCTTATAAGGGAGATTTTCCTTACAAACACAAATGTCACTTACAAAAGGGTAACTCCTTGGTTTTCAGTTTTCCCCATGTGTGCTGTTTCTTAGAAAACAACCAGCTTAAAATAGTTAATATACCAGAGATATTTTTAGGGTGGCAAATTCTGCTCTCCCTACACTAAGAGGTTGATTGCTATATTTTATTGTAAGCGTATGTTTAGTTTTCTACGAAACGACCAACCATCTTCCAAAGTGGCTGTACCATTTTTCATTCTCATCAGCAATGAATGAAGAAAGTTCCTGAAATGTGAAATTTTCAATACCGCCTTTGGTTAAAAGGGGGATTTGGAAATATTTTTATCTGAATGAATGTTTTAATTTATAAAATCACCTCCTATATAATATTTTAAGTGTTCTGCTACAAATAAAGGTAGAGAGCAAGCTGTGGGAGTCGAAGGATTGGGTAGTCTAAGATAAAGTATTAGCATTTAGAGAAGCCTTAAGGCAGAAAGAGTAACTGATATTTCATCTCCAAATTATTTTTCATATATAAATTGCCACTGTGGTTAGGTATTTTTAAAATAAAAGTGAAAATCAGCTTTAAACTAGCTATGATTGTTTCCAGTAGATTTGAAGGGAAAACAACACTCTTAAAAAATATTAATCTCCATCGTAATTACTTTTCTCAATTGGTTTTAAAGTACTCCTTTGAGAGATTTAACTATATTTGGGTCAAAGCTCAAATGAACTCAAATGTTCAGTTTGAGAATAAGGACTAAACATTATAAACATATAATGTGATAAAAGAATTCCTGGATTTTCATACATGAGAAGGATTGAAAAATGCCATAGAGAAAAATAATGAGCATCAAAGGCTATGCAATTCATTTTCCTTGTTTCAATAATCAAACAGTTTCTTTTCTTTTGTGGGTTTGTTTTTCAAATCAGAGGTAAGGAGACCTTGCTGAAAGTAGACAGGTGACTGGGGCCGCTGTTGTCTGATACATTTTTCAGAACTTCCGGGCCTTGTTTAGGGCAAAGCAGCCCCTCATTCTTCATCTTTTCTAAACTCTTTTTTATCTTACAATTTCTGCTGCTCCTCCCCTACAGGTACCAGGAATCACTGTCGTTAGTAGTGGTTGGAAAGGCCTTTGTCCTCGGATTCTTAGCAGGGAAAGGGGAGGACCAGAGGGAGGCGACACTGGCACCAGGTCCACCCTCCAGTCCGTCACCAGCCCTTCCGGTGGCACTTTGTATTCAGGTTAGGAGAGGAGTACTGTTCTCCGGTGAATTTTTGCCTTAAGGGGGAAAAAAAAAAGTTTGAGGACTACTGAGTTAATCACCTGAATCTCTTGATATTTTCTTTTCCGAAGACAGATCCGACTTCTGGGTTAAGAGAAGAGAAAGTAAATAATTTCTATATCTGAATATGTGTGAAGCCCTTAGTAGTCGGGACTGACATCACTTCTCTGGACGTTGATTACACCTCTTGCCCTTCACCTTATACGTCTCTTCAAACCCCTTAGTCATGCTGTGTTTGTGCTGCTGCTCTAGGAGCAGCCTGCGGCCAAGACCTAAACAACATGACGCCAACGTGGTGAAGGAGGGGTCACGGTCGGAGGCAGCCAGCCTAGCACCGAAGGCGCCGGGCGAATGCAATCCAACGAGCGAAGGGCGAAAGGCAAGCACGGGGCACCTCTGCACGGGCCAAAGGAATGCCAGGACCCCCACCCCATCTGTCCCCAGTCTCCAGATCCCAACAGGCTGAAAAAAGCTGGATTTTCGCCATCTGTATTTGTTTTGGGGCCCAACCAAGAAACTGCGAAGGAGAGGGAAGAAGACATATTTTGAACATTTTTTTTGTTTGAAAGACACCTTTAATGTCACAGTCACCGTAAAATAAGAGGTGAAAATTGCTCGTGGTCCCAGTGAACTCTATGCAGGGAAAGTTTAGATGGAAGGAGAAAACACCGAAATGGACAGAGCTCCTGCCCACCCCCATCCCGCGGACCACGGGTCGCGGGGAGGCGGGTCGGGGGCGGGGCTTCGTGACGTCACAGGACCAACGCGTCGCCGTGTTGTTTTTGTGCTCCCGAGTCTCGGGAAAAGCCTCCGGGAATTCTTTACCTGGCCCTCCAGTGCTTCTGGACCGGGGGCCCCCGAGACCCCTTCTGAAAGCTCTGCGGAGCCGCATTGCGACGGGGGCTGGCCTTTCTGAAGCGGGTCTGAGACACATTGCAATTTGTTCCGAGGGAATCAAGACGGGAGAGACGCCTTCGTCCGCGAGGGAGGCAGGCCCCGTCCGGGGATCTTAGAAACCCTGCGGTCCATCATGAAGTTCCAGTATAAGGAGGACCATCCCTTTGAGTATCGGAAAAAGGAAGGAGAAAAGATCCGGAAGAAATATCCGGACCGGGTCCCTGTGAGTGTGGAGGGGGAGGGGGAGGAGGGAATGGGGGGGTGGGGGCGGCGGAGTCGTGATGGCTGCCAGAGGCACAGAAAGATGGTCCCTAAAAGTACTTAACCTGGACGCCCTTCACTACGGAGAGAGCCAGTGGAAGGAACGTTCGCCCTGCGGACCCTTTAAAACCCGTATCCTCAGGGCCCGTCCCCATCTTTGGAGCTGACCGCAGTTTTAGAGCGGAGCCTACGTTTGAGTGACTCAGCAGTATTCAGAGGATGTGTGAGCTGGGATGTACTCAAAATGTGGGCCTTTTTGTGCGAGAATGATTAGGTTGGGACTACCCATTTGCTGCCTTTAAGACTGCATGGAAATTGTTCTGGGAATAACAGATGCGGTGGATTTGCTCCCATCAGTTTTCTCCTTAGGTGGGTCTCCGTTAATCAAGTTGACTTTGGCCCTTATAGCCTTGGGTTTGGGAGGGAAATGTTCGGAAGCCAGTGGATCCTTTATTTTTGTCTCTAAGGGTTAGGGAGCGGGCGTGGGGGGATGGGGGCGCCCCAAGACGGGCCTGGCCCAGAAAACAAGGTCACGTTCTCCGCGCAGCAGCCGGGTTGCCTCATCATTCTTGGCTCCGGGGCGTGTGGGGCTGTAGCCAGCCTTCCTCCGGTATTTATTCTGAACACATTGTACCTGGACACAATAAGGAAGGACTGAGGCCTTTTTTCTCTCGGGTTTTTGGACTCTGGCGTATGTAATGTAAAACTAGTGCAGGCAGTGAGGAGGGAAGAAATAGTAAGGTATCTTGCTGCATCCGGGCGCTTTCCCCCTCTCCCCCCCGCCCCGCCTCCTGCCTGGTTTTTCTCTACTGTGGGCTACGCAGCCGGATGGGAAGGCAGAAGGCTTTAAAGTGTGGTGGAGGGAACAGTCGCTGAGCTTTGGCGATGGGGGACTAGAGACCCTAAGATTGTGCTCTTTATCTTCGGGCAGGGACATTCGGAGAAATATTACAGCTAATTTGCAGGTAAAGGAATTGCCATTATCTGATGGTGAGAGGTACTCTTGAATTCCTTTCCAAACCTCATCTAACTTTGATGTTCTTACAGCTGCCAGAAGCGACCTGGGCCGTATAAACCCCTTGCAGTCCTTTTCCTATAAGGGTAGAGGAGATATTAGGGCTGTTCCATTCCCCAGGAATTACATACACAAGGGTTTAATCCACTGACGGATTCGTGACAAATTGCTTGCTTGGTCTGTGGACCTTGCATGACTGCTTTAAAAGTTTCCCCCCAATCTTGGTGATACCCATTCCTACTCTCTTATAATAATATTTGAAAGTGACAACTAACTTTGATTGATAACTTACCATGTACCTGGGAGTATTCTCAGTTCCCTGTCTATATTCATTCACTTAGTCCTCACACCGTTATAATCCCATTCTACAGAGGCAGGATCTGAGGCACAGAGAACTGAAGTAACTTCCTGAAAGGTTTCACCTGGCTGCTGTGTGGCACAGCTGGGATTCTGACCCTGGCTGTTGGGTCCTCCATGTCATATTGTTTCTCAATCTCTAATGCAGTTCTGTTAAACAGAATTATTTAAGTGTGCAGTGTGTGCCTCGCACTGTTAGGTATTGGAAATAGAGAAGTCAACTGTTGCTGCCTTCGAGAGTTCACAGATGGTAGTAGGATGCCAGAACGGTATCCCAGTCGGCAAAATGACTACCGTTTATTCAGAACGCTAAGTATGAGGCTCTGTTCCAGTAAGCTCCATATAAGTCACAAACTCAGAATTGTACCTGTTCCTAAATCTAGTTAAAATTCTCATACATTTCCTCAAAACAGTCTTTTCCATTTCAGTCATTTACATGCATTCACCCAGAATATTTCAGCTAATCCCCCCTATTTTTGTTCTGCTCATTGTTTGGTGTTAAATGTTTTACTTCTGTGATAGTTTGTAAGCCATTATGACTCTCACTTAGATCTCATGATTCCTCCAGTTAGGTTTTAACCAGTGGTCAGCCTCCTAGCTGCTCCTTAGGTGCTCAGCCTGTGGCCTTCTTTCTAGTTGTGATGCAAAAGGATCTCTACTCTGAATCCTGAGATTTGGTGCAAGTTCTGGGCAGAACCCTGACTCTTGCTGTTCTCAAGTGTTGAGTTTACGGAGAAGAGGGTTAGACTAAATGATTTCTAAAGCCCTTTCCCCCTAGACCATTGGTGTAATTAAAGCAGTCACGTACCCTGACTGCTTACGTGACTTGAGTGTAGCCTGAGCACATCTGTAGCTGCCACCCAAAAGAATAGGCGTGCTTGGGCCTTGAGACACAGTTTCATGGGATTTTGAAGTTACCTTTCTAGCTACAGTGTATTCAAAACCTGCAACATAGCAGGAAACTGTTAGGAAGAGATTGCCTATTTTTTGAAATTCATGAGCAGCCCTATGGAGTATTAGTCACATTTCACAGAGAAGGAAAACTGAGACCCAAACAGGCAAAGCATCTAGGCCCAGGGCCCACTGTAACTGAAGGGTTCCTGGGAACTTGAATATTTTCTGGTAAGCGAAGGCCTTAATGATTCCTTCTCCCCTCCTTTTCCTCCACATCCAACCCTCTCCTCGCGATGTCACAGCTGCACTTGGCTTTGTCGCTCTCTTTTTCTGCTCCCTTCACGTGGTTTCCATGTCTTATTAATCCCGGCTGGAGCTGCCACGTCGTCTGAGAGCTCCTGCGTGACAGAAGGCAGCCTCCTTCCCTTTGATTTTATGTGCCTGCGGCCTCCTGTGCATCCTCATTGTTGCGCCATCACTGGTCTCTTCCTGTGCTCTTCCTACTTTTAATTTCTGACTCACATATCACTGCTGCAGTTTTTATTTTTATTTATTTATTTTTTCTTCCGGTTTTATGGAGACATAATTGACATATGGCACTGTATAAGTTTAAAGTGTACAGCATAATGATTTGACTTACATACCTCATGGAATGATGATTACAGTAAGTTGAGTGAATATCCATAATCTCATACACAGATACAAAATTAAAGAAGTAGAAAAAAAATTTTTTTTTTGTGATGAGAACTCTTAGGATTTACTCTCAAAGTGTAATTGACCTACAACACTGTTAATTCCTGTTACACAACGTAGTGATTTTCTCTATACACTGCAAAATGATCACCGTGATAAGTCTAGTTAGTTATGGTATGTTACCATATTACTTAGTTATTATTATATTCCTCACAGTAGACATTTTGTACCTGTGACTCATTTATTTTGTAACTGGATTTATTTTTATTGTTAAGTGTGATCACGTCCTTCTGGTCTTCCAGGTGCAGGATTCTTTTTCTGTGCAAAAATAAGTAGGTTTTTCACTTGTTATTCTCTCCCCTTAAATTTAAAAGCTTCAGATTTCTCCAAATCAATCCTTATGTTTAGATCTTTATAATTTACAAAGCCTTTTCACTTAAAATTTTATGGATTATTCAGGTTCATTGTATCAGTTCCATGCCTCTGTAAAAGATGTGTTTGAAAGTTATCGTCTTCCTTTTACTTGTTGGAATGCTGAAGCTCAGAGAGGTTAAGTGACCTGTTGAAGGTCACACAGCTACTAGGGATACTTGTCCAGTGTATATTTCTATTACTTTAAATTTTCTGTACTTCCCATATCTACTGCCTAGAGTGATTATATTTTCTAAACTACAAATCTAAAGCTGATGGTTTTACAATAGATTTTAAATTTTTTTTTTTTTTGTGGTACGCGGGCCTCTCACTGCCGTGGCCTCTCCCGCTGCGGAGCAACAGGCTCCAGACGCGCAGGCTCAGCGGCCATGGCTCACGGGCGCAGCCGCTCCGCGGCACGTGGGATCTTCCCAGACGCGGGCACGAACTCGTGTCCCCAGCATCGGCAGGCGGACTCCCAGACACTGTGCCACCAGGGAAGCCCCTAAATATTTTTATATATCACATATAATATATAAATAGGAAATATATTTATATAATATTTACATTTAAGTATATTAAATTAATATTAAAAATTTATTTATATTTTCTATTTTATAAATCTTCATGTATAAAGAGTCTTTAAATTTTACATATCTTTTTTCTTTTCGTTACAGACATATATGATCTTTCTAAAACTTGAAATATTATAGAAATATTTAGACATTGAAAATCTCTTAAAATCCTAACATAATCAGTATTGACTAATGAGTTAGTTATTGTACTGACATCATATTAAAGAATATAAGAACTGTTTTAATACTTACTTTTTTTCAGTTAATAGTGTCTTGAATATATTTTTTTCAGTTCTCAAAAATTTTGACAAAGTATGAAATTTGAACCACATTATCTGTACCTTTAATAAATAGCATTTATATGAAAGAATAAAACTAATAGGTACTCAGGACCATTTGAGAAAATTCAGACAATCTTCTTGGTGCTTTAAATACCAGAAAGTATATATCCTATAGTATACCTTACAGGTAATTCGTAATTAAAATCAGGGTTTTAAAATCTTTACTTTTCATAACATGCCCTCCTCATCCTCTTGTTATTGCAGTCATAAAACCATAACCTTATTACGAAAGTCCATTTCCCCATACATTTTGTAAGGGGTAAGGGGGAATAAGAAATGGAAAAGATGTATCGGCCCTAGACAAACTCACTTCAGATAGGGCAACTGTAGGATGTAGAGGGGAAAGTACGAGGTTGGATTCTGCAGTTTTTATCCCCACTCTCTACTTCTCCTCCCAGGTGATCGTGGAGAAGGCTCCCAAGGCCAGGGTGCCTGATCTGGACAAGAGGAAGTACCTAGTGCCCTCTGACCTCACTGGTAATGCTCCTTCCCTCCCCTGACAACTTCCTCCCGTGGGAAAGCTTTCCCAGTCCTTCCTGTGTGCATGCGATCGTGGGGTTGAGAGGAAATAGAACTGAAGAGAGTGAGTGGGATTCTCCTGAGAGTTAAGGTGATTCAGAAACGGTGATGCCATAGTTCTCTCCCATCACCAATTTCCTTAAGCATTTCCCGTGATAGTGCTTTGTTTGATTTAGATGCAGCAAAGTACGAAAGCTTGAAAGAAAAGATCCGACGTCCATTATTTAAACCGCTTAAAATTCAGCTTTGTTATTGTGATACCAATTTACTCCAAAAGGAAAACCAGACTAGTTTATTGGGAGAATCACATTTTAGAGATTCTCAGCTGAATACCTTGTCTCAAGCTACAGTTTTTTGTTAATACATCTTTTTTTTTTTTTTTTTTTTTTTTTTTTAGAACAAAATATTCTCAAACAAAACAACAAATAGCTGAACCTCAGCTATTAAACTCTGAACTACTTTAAACCAGCTAAAATAATCAGAATTTTTTAAATCTAGGAAAAAAGCAAAAGTTGGATATATTTTCATGGATATGTTTATGTATGTGTGTGGATGGATAGATAACTAGGTAGATATTAAAGAGACGAGTGTATTCATACATAATGATGAGCAACTAACTTGAATGTACGAGAATTATTTTGATTTGCAAGCCTGGGAGTCACATGATAGTAGTTATGAGAGAGAAATTTTACATTTCTTTTTTGAAAATTAACAAATTTAATTGATTGATAAGAAATTCAACATTAAAGTAATTTTGAAGCAATTATTCTTTGAAAGAGCTGAATTACCAGAAGCACCAAATTATTTTATGAAAATAAATGTATATATGTGGTATTAAAATTTGTATTCTTTTGTAGAATAAAAATGTATTATCAACTGTCATAAGTTTATTTCTACGCTCTCTATTATAGCTGAAAATAGTACTCTCAATTAATTGTAGAGAGTGCTGTGTTCCTCTCAGACTGACTTATGCAACTGTATCAAACCTAAAATTAATATAATGTATAATATGTCCAGTTTGTACTACTCTTAAGTATTAAACTTAATTATGAAGCAGGATCAACTCATCCAGTATATGTCAATCTTGACACATTCCATCTGAATGGTATGCTATCTTGGCAGTTTCAGTTGGTAACGAATGTATCAATTTTAGATTATAAACCAGTGTGTTGTTGTGTGTATGGGTATATTGGGGATAAAGGTAGAGTTGATGGTATGAGCTTCTCTCTGTACCCAGATATCAGCATGGGAGGAAGAAGGTGATGATACACCTTTTTGGAAGGAAAGAGAAAAGGAGAAAATCAACCATGATGCAGAACATGAATTTAAAATTTTCAGAATAATATGCACAATGAAGCTCTTTCTTTTAAACAGTAGAGTCACATTTATTTTTTAATGTTAAATTTATTTTTTGGTTCCTTCTGTCATCAGAATAAAATGAGACCAGTTATAAACTACAAAGAAATTTAATTTTTTGTGGAGAGTTGAATACAGGAGTGAAGTGAGCAGTTCTAACTTTAAGCTACATATTTAAATTTCAAAGTATACAAACAAAAATATTAACTCTACATCAATTGAGAATAAATCTTCAGTTCCAATCATTGTAAATGTACTAATTTCAAGTTATCATTAGCTGTCCTACTGGGAATCAAATGGATGCAATTAGCCATCCATCAATCTAAAATAAGTCAAAGCCTAAAGACACATTTGGATGAATGTTGGCAAAATTAAATTAATCTGAGATTGTTGATCTGGCACTACCGTGAACCAAGAAGAAAGAAGGATAGTTGTCTTCTTGTTTATTAACCCATTATTCAACTCTGTCTCATAAATGTGCACTTACATATCTGCTTTCTGCTACCATGTGTCAATTTATTAACTGTTTCTGTCAATGATTTCAGAGGAGTTTCACAAGGCAAGTACAATAAAAAACTTTTTTTATTCTAAAGATTTTTATGTATAACTACATCTAAATCAGGAACCATTTCAACCATTTTCAGTGAGATATAAGTGTATATAGTAAAATGTACATATCTGAAGATTTAATATGATGAGTTTTGACATGTACACACCTGGGTAACCAACATTCTCCAGTAGATATAGAGCAGTGCTATCACCAAAATTCCCTTCTGTCCTTTTCCAGTCATTGCTCACTCCCCCAGGAAAATGCTATTCTAATTTCTATCATCAAAAATTATTTTCCTGCCTATAAACTGCAAACATATGGAATCATACAGTATACACTCTTCTGTCTTTGATGAACATACTGTTGTGGATGCTCACCCTTGTGTATATCAGCAGTTTGGTCTTTTTCATTGCTGTAAATTGTTTACACTAAATTTAGTTTCTTAATTCTGTTCATTTATTAATTTTGTTTACTTCTTTTTATATAGACTAGCTCCCAAATGTTCTAACATCCTAGAAAATGTGTACAGATATTTTAATTTTTCCTTCTTTTCTGATAGTAAGTATCCCATAATTTTTTTCTGGTTCTTGTGTGCTATATTATTTGCCTTGGGGAAAGGGGATGGGAATGTTCTAGGACCACTGGCAGTGGACCATTCCTGGGGACCAAAAGAGACCCACTGTAATCGAAGCATTGTGACCCCTGACCTCTCCTATCTCCACATCTCCTCCCGCATCCCCTTGTCATCTCACAAGCATCACAGTACCCACCCCAGTGGTGGCAGTAGACCTCAGACCCAGACACTTAGATGGAGCTCTCCTTCTGCTGGAAAATAGGGGCCAGGCGTGAGGGATGTCAGGATTGCCAAGATAGTCTTGATAGCATTAAACTGGAATTGACAAAGTATTGAGCATCTCTGTCTAACCTGCTTTGCTCTTTGGTGCCCCTTTTCCCCACACCTACCTTGGACTTGAATGAGCCTCAGCCATTTCCAGTGATAGGCTAAAACCACTCGTCCAAACTTCACTCCATGAATAGGGACAAAGATGAGTTACGTATGGAAGGGGCAGCTATGAGGTAAGATGGATTGTCCACAGCCCCCGCTTATGCAGAATTCTTGCTCCCGGGCTGCTGTCCTTCACTCTCACACGCACGGAAATGCCCAGTGAGGGCCAGCTGCTTCCCTCCTTGGGTTTTCACTTACCACAGCTGCTAGATAGACACATTTGAGAGGGTGACTTTTAAAAGTTCCTGGGGATTCTATCTGATTCTGGTTGTTTTCACTTTAGGGGTTATGATGTGGGTGGGAGTGGGAAGTGGGAATTGCACTCAGAAGGGACATTTCAGTTCATCTCAGACATGACACTTCAGTTCATCTCCGCTAATGAAAAGGGTCCTTCCCGTGGTGGAAATCCGTGTATCAGTTCTGTCAGCTGCAGGCTCTTGTATCATGAAGTTTCTGCTGTCAGGCCGAGGAAATAAAAGAATTGCATACCTTAAAAACCTGCCGTGAGTTCAGAAATGTTGCTTCTACTTAGTAGGTCTTAGAATAGATGGCGTGTGGACTCCAAGCAGAAAACTGTGAGTTGGGGTGGCTGTCGGCTGGGTGCCCGCGCGTGGCCAGACGTGTACCCTGCCCGTCACTGCCAGGAGTCACCGTCCAAAGGTGAATGGAGGCGGGGCAGCGTGCCCAGGGTGTCGGTGCAACGTGGGTGATTTTCTCCACCGCAGATGAATGCCTTGTCACCGCTTTACGTGTTCCTCAGAGCTGAAGGTGGAAGACTGCCTGCATTAGAAGATTGGGGGCGGAGGGGGGGCGGTGCTTGTTAAGATGCAGGTGTCTAGGCCTTGCGCAGATTTGGCTGACTCAGCCCCTCAGCGTAGGCAGCTGCATTTTTAATCGGCTCCTCGTGACTGCTGCACGCTGAGGTTGGAGAGGCGTTGCTCTGGTACCTGGTTTTGCTGTAAGTCCTAACCCAACCTGTTCTTTTCACATCGTGGTCCACATGAGGCCACCATCTCCCAAGGCAACAAATGGCGCCTCCTTAAGGCTCCTGGGGTCAGAGCAAGCTTGATGCCTTCCGAGCTCAGGAGAGTCTTCACTCAGGAACCAATATGTAGGTAGGCGGTGGGGTGCCAGTTTGGAGACAATGAAAAACAGATTAGTACAGATTCCTTTCCGAAAGAATTTTAATATCCATTTCTAATCTTTAATCTCTTGCAGGGCTATATCCCCAAGTGGTGTCTACCTCTGTAGAGTTTTATGGGAATATGAGAGTCAGCAGAAAAGAAGTCGATGGTCATAAGGGATCCATGGCAGGATTCCAACTACCACCAAGCCCAAATCATGCCCAGTGTACTGACTGCGAGTTAAGTTAGGGCTGAGAGGAAGGGTAGGAGAAGCCCAAGCCCAGCAAAGGCCACATGCAGGAAATACAGACAGTTCTGAGGAATTTTCATGTTGACGTCAAGGCATTGGAAATGGACACCTGTCACTACTGGCAGGTATTGGCATGTTTCTGATAAAGCCAAATGGAAGCTAATGCTGGAGTTAAGATAATGAACTTGAAACTAAAGACTTGCCCACACTACCTAGGAATGAGATTGGATAAATGTTTAAAAGAAAAACACATGGCAGCTCCCCCGTCCTCCGTACGCATTGGAAGCAGTGGTGCGGGAGACTGTAGGCCGTTTTGCTAAACCAAAGAAGGGCCTTGAATTTAGAGGCCGTGCCTCCCCCAGCAGGCCTTTGCTTGTTTTGGTCCTACTTATGTCTAGATTTTCCTGGTAGAAAAAGTTTATCCTTGGATGGGACATTACATACCATATTAGACCAGCCCTCTGACCTAGGTGCATAAAGTTTAAACAGCTAAGTTCAGAGACAAAGGCAGGCTGGATATTTCATTGTTCTCAGTTGGATATGATGCTCTTTCCTGCACATCAGTATCTCAGCATCATTTCCCTGTTCCCTGCTGGTTAAGCTTTAAAGCTTCTTAGCACCCTCAGTCCATTGTGAGTCATCTTGAACTAAAAGCAGGTTAGGAAATGTCCTTTCATTAACTGGGTCGCGTGTAAGATTGACTGACACCCTGATGCATATTCCTGGGGACCAGTCTTGAATGATGTGTCACATAACTCCTTTCTTCCTTTGGAGGCCAGTATGACATCAATGGCAGAGTTGAGTGAGTCCTTAACTTTTACTATATATTTTGGTAGAAAGATCTCAGATATAGCTGTAGGATAAGTATTCATCTGGGTTTGCCAAGGACAGTCTAGATGGGTGCTTACTGTCCTGATTGGTTTATTAATGGTTCCTTATTGCACTGTCACAAGTCCCCCAGTGGACAAAATGTTATATGGTCACGCTCTTTATACTTAGTATAAAAAGGGAAGCTTAGTTCCACCATCCATCCCAATGCAGCCTGCCCCAACACAGTTTGGGTAGAGACCAGAAAAAAGGCCATTCCTGAATGGCAGATTGTTCTGCTTCATTCTGTTTTTTTCCCCAATGCAGAGTTGTTTTCTTCCTTTAAAGCATTGTGTACTTAAAAAAAAAAAAAAAGTTCACAGACCATATTGTGAAATCAGAAATTAAGATTGCAGAAGAACAAAACAAATGGTTAAATCATGAATAGTGGTGATTAGGCAGACAGGTGCACTGCCTTGCACAACTCCAGGGGGTGCCCTGCCGTGGTGGTGTGAACAGCACTCTCCAGAGCTGGCTGGTGCCCAGGCTCTGCCTTGGTGCATTCACCCTTTGGACACAATACTGTCAGTTATTGCAAGTTGCTGTGACTCTGTTGCGTGTATTAAGCATGCAATTCTATCAATACATCGCATCTGTCGGTAACCACCCGGTATGATAGGTGTGGTATGATTTTGAGATTCTGTATGTGGGCTGGGATGGCACGTGTACACTTGCCCGTGGATACAGCCCCAAGTCAACTGCGATAACAAGTCATTTCTGAAAAATAAACTAGTTGATAAACTGATTCCATCCACTTTTTTTTTTACTCAATACAAAACTTGGAATCAACTATTTCTAGCTGTGTTTTCTTTGGGATATATATTTTACTCTGACAAATTTGACCAAGTTCCAAGCATTCATCCTCGTTTTGTTTTCGCTGCATGAAACCACCAGTTGTTTTCAGAAACTGGTCCACTTTGTCCTTGAATGGCTCTGAGTCCAGTTGGTCACTTTACTGCCGCCCGAGTAACTAGTTCCTTCCTATCCCCCCCTACTCTTCACCTGCCCCTTTGTTTACCTGGGTGTTACAGTGCGAGGCCTGCAGTTTGGTCAGCTCCAGCCTGTGGTGTACTCTCCCGTGGATGACTCAGGGCTACAGAGCTTGTTTTTCTCATGCTTCAAACGGCCTAAACAAAAAACATTGAGTCCTCATCCCAAAAGCTGTAAGATGTTGTGAAGATGTCAGCCTGTTTCCCCTGTTGTGTTATAGGACCATATATATATATTTTTTTACTTTCATTCTTACTGTTAATGGCACTTTAGTACTTTGTAAATACAGACAACCAGGTTATTTTCAAAGTTTGAAGGAACAGGAAGGGATCACCACTAGAAGGAGTCAGATGACATCCCCACATGCCACTGTGCAGGTGCATATGTATTTCAACAGTGAGTAACGGACGACCCTAGTCACTCTCTTGGTGCATATTCCACAGTGTGGACCAATCAGTTTTAACAGTTCTACTTTCAACATAGCAGTGGATTTATTTAAGAGCCTCGTGACTTCTGTTCAGAGGTATTTAGCACCTAAAACTTGGCATGAAGTGATCCTGAGCTCTTGGTTTGGGGGAGTAAAGCACATCTGTTTTTACACATCTCAGAGGGCTCAACGTTGCCTCACGTCACTCAATCAAAGCTTGGTGATTGCTTGATATTCAAAGAAAAGGAAAAATAAGCCACGTTTTAGGCGCTAACATTGGCTAACTCCCTACCACCTTCAAGTCTTGGCTCAGCTGCTGTCTCAGGCTACCCAGAGCACCTCTTTTAATATTTCAACAAACTCCACCCACTCGCAGCTCCCACTCCTTCCCTCCTTGATCTACTTTTGTCCTGTTGGCTGAGCACTGATCACCTTCTGACGTTTTCTCAAGTTCATGGCCTGCTCTCACTAGATGGTAAGCTCCACAAAGGCAGAAGCTTTAGTTTGTTCAGTGGTTTACACAGACTGGTCAGAACAGTGCCTGGCCTAGAGTTGATGCTCAAAAAATAGTGAAAGCATAGTAGCTTCGGGTAGGATTGAAAGGTTTCAGTTCAGGGACTAAGTTAGTTAAGAACTAAATTATCCATAAAAGCACAAGTTACAAAAGGGCCATTCAGGGAACTTTGGGAACACCTTGGAGCTTTCTAGAAAGAAGATTTGGAGGCAGGGCATAGGGCTTGAACCCCAGCTCTGCCACTTATCCAGCTCGGTGACGTGGGCCAATTTATTTTTTGTATTAAAGGAAATTCTGAATTTCCTTCCTGTCAGATATAATAATTACATCATAGGTTGTGAATACTAAATCCTTTGCAAATCATTAAATAGCATTATTGCATATTAGTAAGTTTTATTTAAAACTAAAGTGCCAGTGACTTAGGCTAGCTGGCAGGAATAGTCTAGGTTTTCATGTTTTTATCCTTTGGTAATACCGCAGGACCTTCATCGGCAAATGCATCATGTGGCATATGAGTCAGGGAGAAAGAAGCATCATGTGTTGAGCAGCGTGTCTCCAAAAACAGACTTCAGACTGATGGGAAATACAGCCAAGAGGGCGCTTTTCCTTTTGGTTAATAAACTCTCCTTGAGGATTGATTTCTTGCTGGCAGTAGCTGCTATTTATTATCAAAGATGGTCTTGCCGTTCCCCTTTTCCACAGCAGCAGGTAAAAAAAAACACCTAGATGTGGGACAGAGTAGCTGGAACATTTTTCAGCCTTATCAGGTTAGAAGCAATATGAATCATTTTTTTAAGCTTACTTTTTGCTAAACAGCTATAAAATGTCCAAATATTCATCATGCTGTACACACATTAACAAATATAACTCCCGCCCATTAGTTTTTTTTTTTGCTGTTGTTGTTTTGTTTTTTTTGCAGTACGCGGGCCTCTCACTGCTGTGGCCTCTCCCGTTGCGGAGCACAGGCTCCGGACACGGAGGCTCAGCGGCCATGGCTCACGGGCCCAGCCACTCTGCGGCATGTGGGATCTTCCCAGACTGGGGCATGAACCTGTGTCCCCTGCATCGGCAGGCGGACTCTCAACCACTGCGCCACCAGGAAAGCCCCCGGCCCATTAGTTTTTATACCACCCAAGCCCAAGGATCCATATGAAACACTGCGTTCTGGAGAGGATGCCCTCGGCTGGGCTGTCCTGTAGCTCGATGTGACTGCAGCACCCAGAAGCACTTTCTCCTGCCTGTGGTCCCAGCAGGTTGGTCCTGGAATGGCAAATTAGGTGTCTTTTTTGTTGGCCTTCTTGGTCAATTTTATGACCCCTAAATGACAGATCCCTTGAGGACCCACACTTCTTAAGTACCCACAAGTGAGCCAGGAGGCAAATTCAAGGAGAAAGGGTGGGAGAGAACAAACCTTTATTGGCCCAGTTATTAAGTATAAATCACTGTGCAAGATGCTCAATGTTTTCTCACTTAATCTTGGAAAATAAACTCTGAGGTGAATATTTTAATTCAATTTGCTAAATAGGAGAAAGGAAGGGAACTTTTCCAAGATCAAATAGCTAACTTTGAGCTAGATTCAAACCCAGGACTGACTGATCACAAACCTCAGGTGCGGGTCTTCCCCATGGTCAAAGCAGGTTAGGGCCTTTCAGTGATTCCACGTGCAGTTTTGATCAGGTTAAAGGCTGAAGCTATAAAGTGTTTCAGTTTCTCTTTGTGATGGTGCCCTGTCCTGATTTGCTTGCGCTTGCTGATTACGAATATACCAAGTACTTTTACACTCCAGGCCCTCTCCTTATGTCACTCTCTATCTGGAATCCCCTTTCTTGTCCTGCCTGTTTACTGAACTCTCTCCAGAAGTAGCCCCAGTGCGCAGATTATACAAGGACAAGTATCGTGAAACTAAAATAACAGTGGCTTACACAGGACGTTTACTCCGTTCTTGTGTAAAAATGTCCAGGTCTGGCATGATGGCTCTGCCTCCTGAGGCTACTGTTGCCCTCTCTGTTCCATATCAGTTGGGTGTAATCCTCAGCCTGAAAGTCAGAGGCAACATCTGTTCCCTGTAATCCGATGAAGGAAGAGAGCCAGAAGAGGACAGCATACAGCCCCGCTCTCTCGGAAGGAAAGCTCCCTGAAGGTGCTAAGGACAGCGCCACTGATTTCTACTGGCCAGAACTGAGTAACCTGGCCACTTCTAC